TAATATCTCTAGAAAAGTAATAGAAAACACATTTCATAGCCAAATTATCAGAATAAAAAATATATGTACTGAAAATGACGATTTAAAGGATGAAATCATAAAACTAATTAATGTACAAGTTGATAACCAAGTACCACCAAAATTTATTAATTTATATATTAAAAAGGCAGGCCTTAACTTTACTTTATAATATTTTGGCTGTTTTGGATATGATAACATTACCTTAAACCTTAACTGGAGGGTAATGAAGGATATAAAAGAGTAGAGAAATTATTGTAAATTTTTATTGTAAATATTTTGTAAATATGTATATTTAATCAATACTGGATTCTTTCCTTTTACTAATAAAGGGCCAACTCTTTTCAAAAGTCTCAATTATAGCCTGAATTGAGTGAAGATGTTAATCTTCTTCTTCTAATTTTCCATACTTTAGCCAGTATTTAGTTAAGTTTTGATATACCAATTAAATCAAGTTCATTAAACTTTTAATATTTTCTTTCATCAAATTTAAGTTTTATTTAACTTCCTAAAGGAATTTTTAGAGGTTTTTTAAGGACTTCATTTCCAAAAAATTTTGGGAAATTTTACTTTAAAACTTTAATATTAAAACATTTCAGTTTTTCTTAATTACTTTAATTTTTTGCAATTTTCACACAAAATATCTTTCACTTAATTTTTTTAACAATTTTTCAACAGAACACACATTTCAAATTACATACAGTTTACTTTTTTTTTCACATACCACTTCACTTTAATTTTTTTCATGTACCACATCACTTTAATTTCCTTCAAGCAAACATACATCTCTTGATTGGCTCAGTTACTTAACTCCCTAAATAATTAATATTACTACCTTTAGGATTTTTAATTTAATTTAATTTAATTAATATTAATATTTACAAAAAATTTTTACTATAACAAAGATAACAACTTGACACTCAACTTTACCTACATAAGCGCCATCTGTATAATTTGAAGAACACACTTACTTCTCTTTCACAACACTTTTGCAGACCCCCAACACTCATAAAGTAGGTAAGTTAGAATTAAAACTTACTATTTACTTGCTTTAAATATTTTTTTTTTTTAAATTTTATGTAGTATCTAAGTATTTTCTAAATATGAAATTATATTTTTAAATATATATTTATTTTAAAAATTGTGAATTAGTTCTTTTTGTTACTTTTTGTTTCTTATTGGTTTATGGGATTATGTATAGTTCTTTTATAGCTTCTTTTTATTGATATGCATATTTGTGTAGGGAAAGTTTCTGTAGACAAGGATTTCTAAAATAAATTGGTTTCTAAATTTTTTTATTATTTTATAAAAAATTAATTTTTAAAAAATTTAATTTTTTAAGAAAAAGTTTAATTCTTGACTTTACTTGCTTGTTTCTCAAGAGACTTAATTAGTATTTTCCTTTTTGAACTTTAATTCTTAAATGTTAATACTTAAATGTTAATTTCTAAGGGTACCACTTTATTGGAATTACTTTTGGTTTTGACTTTTACCCTTGCCTGCATGAATGACGAAACACGAATTGAATGATTGGAGAGTTAGGTTTGGAGGCAACTTCCTCTTGATAAGTCTGTCTCCTGCCTACTCTACGATCATTCACATATGCATTTTTTAAAAAAAATTGTTTAATTTAATTTTAATTTATTAAATTAGTAGATTTATTTTCATGGATAGATTTTACACTTGATTTGCTTATGCTTCTGAATTTAAATGATATTGTAGATTAGTTCGAGAATTAAATCTTTTACATGTTTGCATATTTTAAAATTATTTTAAATTATTTTGGCTTTTTTCCTTTTTTTAGAATTTAAATTTGCTTTTCTACTTTTTTACTTTTATACGTATTTGTTTAGAATTTAAATTTGGGTTTTCATCCGCAGAGAACCCGTTGGCGCTTCGGGAGTGAACCCGTTGGCGCCGTTCCATTTTTACTCGCCAAGCTCGCGTTTCATCGACGCTATGGCGAGCCGTAAACGTGATTTTTAGTGCATGTAAATTCTAGTTAGCAGCCTAAACAATATATTAAGCATATGGTAGTAAAAATTCACAGATAATAAGCATGTAGATGTAAAACTAACAGGTTAAACGTGATATACGGAAATAAATTGGTATTAAATTTAAACAGAAATTAATTATTAAATTATTAACTTTTGTTATGAATTATGCTGATTATGATACTTCTCATTTTAACCTATGCCATTTGACATAAAATCAACCTGCTACTTACTAAACCGCTAGCCTGACCAAGTATGTGACATTATGAGACATAAAAAAAAAGTTACATAAAGTTAGTAAAATGTAAATGTCACTTCTTTCAAATATGCCCAACTATTATAAGTGTAAAATATTTAATGCTACTAGATCAATTACTTTTCAATTACTTTTACTTTTAATAAGTTTATTTCATTTTCAAACTTATTAATAATTATGTTAATTCATGTTTAGTAATAATACATACTACTTATGGATCTATTTTATTTTTAGGATGGTATTGCAAATGTGAAATGCAGGCATCGCTAATATTTTAAATTGAATTTATTCAGTTCGCGTTTACTCATAGGTCCTGAATTTTTTTTCATTAATGGTCCTTAATTTCTGTGTGCAGAAATGTGTATGAACTCTGATTAACAGTTTTCAGTATTATTATTATTATTTAAGTTACTTGCATGCAGGTTAAAGCAATTTACATTGAAACAAATACCCATCCTTTTCATAATTTATTTCACAATACTAATAACCTTCAACAGTAATCAAATTTTCTTCAGTAGCATTGTTAATAAAACTTGAACATTACACATTTCATTACTTTTCAAGAGTCATTTGAACTATATTCCTTACACCAGCAGTGGTTTGCTAATTTTGATGACCATGGGAATACATCAAACTATTCTGTCACAGATAATCAGTAATAAATAGTATTTATTATTAAAATTTAATAATCTATTTATGTCACACCTGCCATCCTCTGAAAGGTTATTGTAAGAAAAGCATTAACAATATATTGTTACAATAAAAATAAAAGCATTACTTAATTATTTAAAATGCACATTTTTGCGGAGTATGAAAATGAATTATTTGAGCGTTTCGAACCTCATGGTTCTGCGTGCGTACAGCTGTTAATAATTAAGAACACAACGTGAGCAGCCGTGTTAAAAATTAGCATTCACCCCTCCCGCTTTATTTTCTTCCTTTCATCCCGAACCGAGAACCGGGATCTACGAAAATATTTCTATCTATTCGTTGTTAAAAAATTAAGAAAAAAAGTAATAAGTAAAAGAAGAATAATAGAAATCTGCAAAATCGAAGAACCACAGTGATAACGAAACAAAATGGACGCAAGATGAATGGTTGCAACAAGCGAATAGGTTGAATTCGCTGGGTTACCAGATTTTAACTATTATCGCCAAATTTGGCAATGTTTACATTCACCGGGTTCTCTCCGGAAGTGCTTCCTTAAATTTGTTTAAATTTAAATTTCATTCCTTGCAGCAATGGCGCAAAGAATATTTAATTGAATATGTATTTAAATTTAATTTTTTTAATTAAACTCAATTTATTCTTTTGAAACAATATTGAATTTTACTGTTGCACTGATTAAAAAAAAATACTGAGCAGTTCCTCCTAGCAAATATTAAATTGCACGAATATGTGACAAGTTCAGATCAATGGGTTTTTCAGCTATTCCTTTGAATCTGGCCACTTCTCTACTATTATAAATCTTCATTTCAAATTACTGACATCTAAACAATATTAATAAAATTGGTAATAAATAATAATAAGTTATAAATTTTAATATGCTACTTAATAAAGTATTATTATCCTCATATTTTATACTTATTATTTTTCAATTACAATGCATTCAAATCAAAATTAATTTCAGTATTTGAAGAATAGGATAAAAAATGGCCCATTGTCTTCATGCATATTACACAATAAAATTAGGGAAATTGCCTGACAATCCAATTTTATTATCACATCACTTAAAAAATATATTAGTTTTTATTTGAAAAATTGCAGTTTAGGAGTTAGGGTTTTCAACTTGAGATCTGTAAAGATTAATTCAGAAGTCAAACAACAAAAATCAGCGTTAATTTACAAAATTTTCACAGGACTAGTTTCGATGGTTTTACCGAACCATCATCTTCAGCTGCAAAACCGCAAATGAACAAGATAGGAAATAATGTTTAGATAAGATAAGAAAAAAAGCCTGGACAAGAATAAGCAAGTGGCAAGTGGCGCCATCTGTTGGCGAAACCAGAACTAAAACATAATTTCTCTAAAAGCCGAAGGCAAATTTGGATTGGAATTAGGATCGTTAACTAGAACAGAAAGATTTTTATGAATGTGAAATGCCTCTAGAAAATCCAGTTTTCCAATAGAAGATGTTTTTTGAATAATTTTGGCAGCAGAAAAATTGAAAGTGTGATTTTCGGACCAACAATGTTGAGCAACAGAAGACTTCTGTGTTTCCTTTTTTCTAACATATGCCTCATGTTCTTTGACGCGAAATTTTAAGGCTCTCTTAGTTTGGCCAATGTAAATTAAACCGCACTGGCAAGGAATCCTATAAATACCCCAGGAATCTATAAAGATCTCCGAATTATGGTCCTCTATATAAATTTGCTTGAATATTGAATCTATAACCATCTTCTATATCTTTTAAATTAATACCCAGAATAAAATATCAGAAAGTTAATAAGGTAAAAAATTCAATCATGCATTTGTTTTTATAGGAGGTAAACTTATAAATGCCTCTATAATATTACAGTGTTCAATATTAATAAATGTAAGTGACAATATTAAATTATAAACCTACAAGATAAAAAAGAAATTCTAAATTACTAAAAATACCATACTGTCATGAATTTTTTTTATAGATGTGAAAAAAGCTATATAGATTCAAGCTATAGAAAACTGGTTACTTTGGCCATGCACAAAACATTTATAACATTTGATAAAATCATGTTAAGTTTAAAAATTACCTTGGAAAGTCATGATTTCATCGTATAGCTCAAATGTAAGAATTGGCTCGTCTAATTCTCTGAGAAAAGTTTTTAATATCACAGCAGGAACATGTATATCTCCATAATCGTCAAAACAGACAGGTTTCCCTGAATTCACAGAGAGAAAGAGATGTTTAAAAAATAAAACAAGTAACTACACTTAACAGATCTATCTAAAATAAAACTAAATCTCAATCAACTAACATTCAGCCCTTTCTGACATTACAGGCTATGGATTTGGCCATTATAGATCAGTAACAGCTCAAAAAATTGTGTTTGAAAAGAAAATAACACACATTTCTGTTTGAATATGAACACTTCTATTTAAGATGTTGGCAAAAAAAAATAAAGTTGATTTTTTTATATAATTCAGTTTTGATACAGCATTACTCAAAGTCAAATTCTCACAATTTATATTTATGACGTCAATTTTTTTCACAATTTCTGAAATTGCTTCGTTACTGAAAATACACATTCTGAGCACTAAAATGATCCAAACAAACACTATACTAATATAATACAGTTTTTTTCTTACTCTAATCCACATCATTCAATAAAAATTTTCTTTTTAAATCAAAAATGCTACTTTAATCTGGTTTAAGGATGTCTAGAGGGAAAATGCATGGGAAACAATAGAAATGCCTTCTTTAGTAATCAAATTTTTTCTCAAATGGTTGGACATGTGCTTCTTAAGCATTCACAGGAAATAGCTACACCCACTGATCATTTAGACATCTCATAACCAACAGTACTTATTCCCTGTGGTGCATCACATCAGAATGATTAATACAGTACAAAGTCAGATCCGAACTCATCGGGACTTCGGCGATTCCGGATTTTTAGATCATCAGCTTAAATCTACATGCAGAAATTATAAAATTAAAAATATGAAATTGTGATTTATGAAATAATGAAGCATGTATGATCAAAAAAGTATCATAATTTACAAAAAAAAAAAAAAGCTTAATATTTATCTTTGTTTACTTTATTAAACATTTTTTTGAATGTAAATTGTTTATGTTGCTTCATTTTTTGTGTTTATACTTTCTCTTCAATTCTGCAGACAGACATAATTTCTTGTTCAGTTACAAAGTTCCACTGTTCAAGTCCTGTAGTTGCTGCGTCAAGAATTCCGACTAACTCGTCAATCGAAATTTTTTCATTTCGAATAACCTTTCATCTCTCTTCTCTATCAGTAACAGTATTTTCTGGATCTAGAACCATACTAGAGATTTCACCATCCGTTAATTGATTGATGATTGGAATATTGTCATTGCAATGAAAAACTTCTGTTATATCATCTTCACTTCTCCGCTTCTCCATACTTCTTTACAAAATCCATTAATTGGAAAAGCAGATATGCAGCTACGAAGCTAAATTACTGATCAGACAAATTTATGCTAAAATGATTGATTTTTCAATAATGAGGTATTTTATTCAGTTCCGAAGTGAAACTGAGAATCGGGATTCTTAATTTCATGTGAAGATTCAAAAGAAATCTCCACATGCTTTCTTATGGGGAAAAAATCAAATGTGCATGCAAAAAGCATTAAAAAAAATTTGTTGGTCTGGATTTTAGATCATTCCTGATATTGGATGTCTGGATCTCGGACTTTGTATTGTATTATATTTGCTAACATGGAAGAAAGCATGATACACATATAATGATGAGTTCTGAATTGGACTTTCAAGAAAAAGGAGATTAATTTTTACTTGGATAATTTTGTAAATTTTCCCTTTTGCATTTTTATTTTTTGAGTTTGTTCTACTTGAATTCTTTCTCTAAATGGATTTGTTTTGATACTGTTGTAAACCTCTTACATACAGTTGCAATATTTATATCATAGAGGAATTGTCTTGCTTTTATTCCAATTTAATAATAAATTTAGATGCTTTAAATTTATTCTACTTCAATCCTACAGCTATAGTGCAGGATAGGTTTAAATTTTTTTTTAAATTCTAACTTTTAGCCTATTTTTATACTTCTTTATAATATACATATACTTTTGGGTGAGGCCGACTGCAACCAGAAAGTGGGGTGTACAACATGTTATAGCAGTCTAATATACAAAATTTCAACATTCAGAGACTACTTGTTTTTGAGCTATGTGAGATACATACATACATATGTACGCATAGACACCACTGAAAAAATTTCTGAATCCATTTGAAATCAGTTTTATAATTCGTTTGGGAAAAAAGCATCCTTTATTTTGTTCTTATATACAAATGTCATGCAAAAACATCCTTAAATTGCATTTGATGTCAAAATAGATATTTCCATTGAAAACTGATACCCGGAAATTTTTTTTTTTTTTTTTTTTTTGTTTACATCATTTCCTTTACTTTGTGCAAGGAAGTAACAAACCGCAAGCCCGAAAAGGTGATGAAAGGTAATTCAGTGAAACAAAATCATTCAAAAGCTATTTAGAAAATGCTGGATTAATTGTAGACAGACCAATGCACAGTTTTGGCAATTCAAATGATGGAAGCATGGCATAACCTTTTTTCCCCATATCCTCATGGAAAATGTTGACTTAAAAATGCATATAAAGTTTAGCATTTTTAAAAAGCGGTCACAAAATTAATATAAACAAATTTATAGACAGTACAACTTTGTACCACATTCTGTATCTACATTTGTAATACAACAATATTGCTCAACCAATCAACAATACAACTGATGATGAAAAGAGACAATTCTCAGTCACATCAAGTACACAAAATTCATGCTGAAAATGGATGAACTGACTGACGTTGCTGAATTGTTAATTTTAACTCCTCTCAACACTTATTTATAAAGTTATCAACAGGAATTTCTTTGCAAATTACTACCCACCAGCAAGCATATCCGGAAGTGAAATATTTAATATTTTGAATGAACTCTTTTCATCAAATGAAATATCATAGGAAACTCATGCAATGTATGCACTAATGGGTAAAGGCAATTAAGTGTGCAGTGCCGGGATGAATTAAAATACTTAAAGATAAGGAAAAGAAACACAGCCATTTTGTTTTTCATAGACATGCACTAGTCTCGAGGAAAATGTCTTCTGAGCTTATGATATTGTTGAATGACCATTAAAAATTATATAAAATTGCAACTTTTTAAAAGAACACTGTTCAAACTAGTGTGTGAAAATTGGGAAGTCATCTTGAGTCTTTCCTGCTATATGTCAAAGTAAGGAGGTTGTCTTGGCGATTTACAATTTCTTGACACCACAATTTAAAAAAACATTAGGCACACACATCTCTAAGCTCTGAAAAACTTGTTTGAGTATTATTTTCTAACAGCTTAAGGGAACTTGCTTGATGATTTTAAATGAATATTAAATGCATTCAATAGTGTTAAAAAACAAACAACCAAGTTATCCCCTTCCAAAAAAAGCCACTCAGTTTAAATTTAGGTGAATACAAGGTCTTTGACATCTCGCAGCAAACTACAAATCATCTGAGACAGAAAAATAACCATTGCTGCCTTTCACAACTACATATCTCAACGAAGTGGGATTTTTCACTTATATAGTAAATGCCAAAACAAAGTACAGAAGCTGCTTAACTTATGTTACTATTGTGTCTTAAATTTTAGTTCTAATGTTCCATAACAAATTTTAGTTCTACTTGTTCCATAGCAATGCACTCTAGTTAGTAAAATTAAATTCAAATTGTCTCCTGAAAGGAACAATAAGAATTATGAATAAGAAATAATGAACAAAGATACAATGAATAACTTGAATACAGTCAAAAGTCTTTAATCTGGACTCGTCGGGACTTCGGCGGTTCCGGATTAGCGGTTTTTCAGGATTATAGATCATCAGTTTAAATTTAGTAAGATGGCATGCAGAAATTATAAAATTAAAAATATAAAACCATAATTTATGAAATAAAGAGCAGTTATTATCTAAAGGGTTTCAAAATTTACAAAAAATAAAGCTTAATATTTATTTGTTTACTTTATTAAACATTTCTTTCAACGCGGGCATGCGTAAAGCATACATTACGCATAGTTGAAATTAGAAAATCGCAATCAGAAAACTATTTGGTGTGTATTCATGGTATTTATATTGAGGAGGAATTTGATTTAAATCATATCAAAGACGGAGTACATCGAGATGAAATACTACATTTAGTAAGGAATTATAAGCCGAATAAAATAAAAGCATCTGCCCTGAAGATAAGGATAGTGCTGACAGATCAACTTCCAGTTCATTGCATGCCGCGACGTCCCCCCCACCCCCACAGAGCAGCGTGAAATTCATAAACAGATTTCGGAATGGTTAGAGTTTGCAGCAATTCCACTTTTTGTTTGATGGACATCAAAACATGCTTTCACTTTGTAAATTTTTTGGCAGCTCCAGAATCGGAAATTCTTTTTGACATAATCGAAAGCTCAAGATTACTTTTATAAAATTGCTCTAACAGTTTGCAAAAAATAATACGCCGAATCCAATTAGAAGATTAAGGAACGACGCAATCTGCAACATTAACTAAAATACATAATTAGATAATTTTAGTTTAGCTTATACCGTCCGTTATACATTAAACGCACACGCATAAACGTATTATGCGCATGCGTAAGCACATATGCGCATGTGCAGAAAGTTTGTAGCTTTCAGGTCCGGATTATATAGATCATTTCGGATTATGGACGTCCGGATTAAAGACTTTTGACTGTATAATGAATAAATTGTGTTTATTCTATGGATCTTTTTTGCTCTCACCAGTAATCTGTTGTCACAAATAACTAATGTAATAATAATAACTAATAATAAAATTAATTTAATTTACTGAATAACTAATGTAATTTACAGAACTCTGAAATAACTTTTCATATAGCAAAATTATGATTAAATCACGGTTATTGGTTGGTAGTTAAGTATAAACCAAGATATTAATATAAATTTAAAAATTTTTCAAATAATGTCTTTCCATGGATATTGTGCTGTCGCTCATGTATACCTTTTCTCTCTGTTCCCTTTTCTTTCCCTCTAACACTACATCTACACACGATTAACTTGCAAGACATAGAGTAGGTCTACAAGGTTCTTCCATAGAAACTGATTTCTAAATAGGGCTCCGTATGTAAAAAAGTTTGGAAATCGCTGCTT